CGGGGTCTGGGGAAAGAATAGGAAAGGTGATTTCACTATATTTCTGACCAGGAACGGGGCCTATCACAAGAATATTTTTTTTATTGGGGCGATAGCTCTGAAAAGATAGATTGCCTATCTTTTCTTTCATCTCGGGAGAAATACGATCGGGAGGCGCTAGTTCAAACCCCTCAGGTAAAATTAGAACAGCCCCCACATTCAAAGCCCCCCTTTTACCATTAGCAAGAACTTGCTTCAGTTGCATATCATAAGGAATTCGAACAACTGCTTCAAATACAGTATCCGGAAGTACCGCTTGTGGAACTTCAATATCCACGGGCTTATTAGCTAAATGGCAATTGGCACATACAATACGCCCCGTCGCTTCTCGTGGATTTTCATAACCCTGCTGTGCAAAAATGGGATATGCGCTTGAAATGGATGCCCGAGTTATGATATATATCATGAGCGATACGGAAATGGATCGAGTAACCTGTTCCTTTATCCAAGAAAAAGTATTTCTAGTTTGCATGGTCCAATCATTGATCGCGAAAATTTCTACAATAAATTGGGGTAGGTCGCTATTATAGTTCCCTATCCACGATTCTGCTATTTACTGGAATAATTTTACTGAAATATAAGACGAATCCCCGGTATGGGTAGAAATGTAAAGAGTAAGTACGATTTAAAAATGTTTTACTTATGTACAAATACAAAGTAAGAAACATTATAATTGGATTAATATCAGCGGATCGGTTTTCAGTCATTCATTGAATGATAAATCACTACAAGTGACGGAGATACACGATTTAAATAACGGAAAATCCAATATTTAAAAATTGTGTCTAGAATGACTGGAAAAGTAGAAACAAGACCAGATATAATTTGATCGTTATGAACAAATCCAAAATCTTTGTAGACAGAGCCAATCATTAGTTCCCAACCATGGGGCGAATGGAATCCTATACATAAATCAGTTAATAAAAGAATAGAAAAAGCTTTTATTGTGTCGCTTAAGTTATATAGGAATTCCTGAGTCCAAGAGTTAAGAATAACAAGTTCTTCATTACCCAGAATAGAGTAACCACTTAGAATAATGAAACAGATTATATTTGTCGAGAAGTGCAAAATCGTATGGATACGATCCTCATTGTGTATCTTGATTAATTGGATCGTTTCTTTGTGGATTCCTATATGAAGCTTTTGTAGATGTATCTTCGAGTATCCCTTTATCATTTCCTCCAAGAGGAGGAGGTCTTCTAATTCTATGAATTTTTCTAGAATACTCTTTTCTTGAATATCATTCAAAAAAATTTCAGATTGCCTAGTATTCCACCAATTTGTAACCCAAGATTCCAGACTTTTATTAAATGAGAGAGAAATCCACCAGGGCAAAAATACTATAGATACAAAGAAGAGGAGTGAATGTTTTATTTTTTGCCATTTTTTCATCTGTGAATTGTTAATGAACCCATCTCATTCGTCGACTCTATGTGATCTAATATTTCTATCAAGCATGAGTTCTATTACAAGGTATCGAACCTATGAATCTATTCACTGTTTTTTATTTGTGATTCCGTGGTTAGTCCTTGAATCTAGAAAGAATACAGAAATAGAATCAGAATCCACTTCGAATTTAGAATGAAGAAATAATAAAAAAAAATATTGTTTCCAGATATCCCAATTGGTCAAATTCGAAGCAAGTGTCCCCTTTCGATGAATGCCCGAAAGAACCACTTTCAAGTAATGAATATTATTCAAATTTTGAGACGAAAGAATTCCTTTTCTATCATTCTATCAAAATATCAACTATTTCGAAAAAATTTCACTGACTACCCCACCCATAGTCCAGAAATAGAATAAAATGTCTGAAGAATCTTGTGATGATCAAAAATGAGTAGCAAAAGAAGACAGAAATTAGATAGTTATCATTATAAGCGATTCAATTGTTTGGTTATTAAGGAGCGCAAAAGAAGAAACGTCGATTGACAAAAAAGAAATAATTTACAAGATACAATCTATCTGGATCTAAAGTATTCATTCCAACAAATATTGGACTTAAAATAAAAAGATAAATTTTTTTATTTTGAAATATTTTGATATATGAGGTGGATCTATTATTTCAATTTGTTACTTGTTTTGTTACTGAATTGAGTTGAGTGGATTTCCATACGCATAAAAGACTGTTTTTGTGGACAAAAAAGTTTGTTTTATGGTTGTTCCGTATACGTTTGATTTGGCTCGAATGAGCGTTCTGAAGAAACTTCAGTTAAGTTATGTTATAGAGCGAATTCTTGAGTTTTTCCCTCCTGCCGAGAAAGCATTCATTCTTATTCTTCCGTTTTCATTTCTCAAAAGACTTCAATCGGTACACGCAGGAAATAAGCCAATTCAGCAGCTTTTTGTTCAATTTCTCGTGGAGTCAAATTCTCATCAGTACGAGTCAAGGGAATAGCCCCCTGACCTCTGATTTCCATATAAAGGACACGACGAGCATAAATACCCTCTTTAACTTCTATTCTGACGGACTGAATATCTTTTATAAGGAATCGGAGGAAGATGCGGCGATTTTTTCCAGGAAATCCCCAACGAAAAATACATACTATTCCTTCTTTTATATCAAATCGATCATAACCACTACCTACATTCCACGAAATTGTGGACCACAAATAGGAGCTAATAAAGAGACCCGCAATCCCATAAAAAGACATCACGAGCCCTTGTGGAAAAAAAATGATTTGCTGAGACGGAAATAAAGATATCAAATTTCTACCAAGATAACTGGAAATTCCAACCAATAAGAATCCTAATGAACCTAAAAAAAGGATAAAGGCCCAGCAGAAATTACCTGTTTTTCGAGACCCCGTTATAAGTTCTATCCATATACGTTCTGATCGCCAACTCATACTTGATCCGGTTGTATTTTATTGGAATTGAGAGAATAACCCAAATGAATTTGACTTTACTCTTTTTGTTTCCGAAATAACTCTCATCAACTAGCACTATTTTGATGTAAACCTTTAGGAGTAATTCATCAAATTGGTTAGATATAAAAAAATAACATCCCCTTCATATGATTCTACTCGAGATATTAACACACATATAGATAGATTGACTTTCCATTTCAGATATCCGCCGATCCCGATCTATTTGAAAATAGCTAGAATTCATTTACCCATATATCGTGTTTCTGCATGCATAAGAGCTATTTCATTTATGTTCGGCGAAAGCCGCATGTTATACCATATTCCACTCAATAAATATCAATGTTATGATACAAGTCTAAGTTTTGAAAAAAAAAAATGGATGCAATTTAGTCCCATCGGGTCTAAACAATCTTGTTGTTTTGAACATGAAGAGATAAAGAAGCCATTGCAATTGCCGGAAATACTATGCCTACTACAGGTACCAAAATAGAGGAAAAGTCAAAAGTTGCCATAGAATGGGTACCTCGATTTACTATTAAAGATATCTTATAATAATTATAATTCTAATTAGTATATATCTAAGTGAGTATATATAATAAGCGCAAGGAATGTAGAACTAACTAAATGGACTTATTCATCTTTCTACTTTCTACATAAAATATATGTATGATAATCGATTTTATTAGTCTTCTTCTTTTCTTCTTGTCTTTAAATTTAATAAAAAAAGAGTTTCTTACAAATTACCGAAAGATTCGTTAGAATCCGACCTAACGGGGATTCTTAGTAAAAAATGGGGATTCTCGGGAGATATAGAAAGATACAAAAATCTATATTTTCTATATTTGAATTATATACAGACGTAAGAAAGGAAAATGAAATTCTTTTTTTTATCTTGTTGCTAGAGGCTTCCTGATTACTAGTCAGTAATATAGGTAAAAAAAAGAATTATCCACAATTTTTGATTTTTTCTACAATTAGATCTTATGTCATCAAAGAAAACTCTATTCTTCTGATTTTGACTTTGATTTCGATAAACTAACTACTTGTTTGCTACAAATAAAATAATTGAACTTAATGTGCTCTACTTGCTTGAATTTTGATTTAAAGGAAAGAAAGCGTGGAGCTGAAATAATTCACTCAGAACGCCCTTTAAAGGATTACGCGGTACGATTAAATCGAATAAGCCCTTCTGGAATAAATATTCGGCCGCTTGTGAACCTTCGGGTACTGTTTTATGCAATGTTTGTTCAATTACTCTTTTACCCGCAAATGCAATGTAGGCATTGGGTTCGGCAATAATGATATCCCCCAACATACCAAAACTGGCTGTCACCCCACCAGTAGTAGGCGATGTAAGGATTGATACATAAAATAACTTTTTATTTGATTGATAATCATATAAAGCAGAAGAAATTTTAGCCATTTGCATCAAGCTCAAACTTCCTTCTTGCATGCGTGCCCCTCCCGAAGCACATACTATAATAAGAGGTAGAAATTTATTGGTAGCATACTCGACCAAACGGGTAATTTTCTCCCCAACTACGGATCCCATACTACCCCCCATAAACTGAAAATCCATAACCCCAATTGCTATGGGAATACCGTTTAGTTGGCCGATGCCTGTTTGAACAGCCTCAGTTAACCCTGTTTTTATTTGATAAGAATCGATACGATCTTTATAAGGCTCCTCATCCGAATGAAATTCAATGGGATCCAGAGAGACCATGTCTTCATCCAGAGGATCCCAAGTGCCCGGATCAATCGAAAGTTCGATTCTATCTGAACTACTCATTTTCAAATGATATCCACATTGTTCACAAATATTCATTTTTGACTTCAAAAATTTCTTATAATTTAATCCATAACAATTTTCGCATTGAACCCACAAATGCTTGTATTTTTGAGTTACATCGAGATCATTAGAACTTTCTCTTATAGTTAAATCACTACCATTCATGCTGGTTTTTATACCGGAACTATCGCTTTTACTACTATTTCTACTTTCACCACAAATGGAACTATAAATGTAACTGTCACTATCACTGTAATTGTCACTATCACTTAAAATGTAAGTATCAATACAGATTTGAGAAT